CGTTCAAGCTGTTCAACATTTTTAGAAAAATAAATTAAAGAGAGAGAATCACCTCATCCATGCCAACAACTTATAAAGTTTAACTGTAAAATTACAGTCGCCTCATTTTATGTATGTGAAACATTGTTTTTCTTTCTTTTTTAAAATTAATTCATCTCTGAGTTTATTATGTTTCAGAGAAGGTCTGACCATGATGGCATTATAATGAAGCAGACACTATGTATTTAGGTTTCAAAAGACAGAAGAAGAATTTATGGCATTTGTCTAATCCACACATTTTTTTTCAGTGCTTCTGGTTAGTCTCTATTCATGTTGTTCATGACTCGGTGTTTGTCTGTGACTTTCACTGGCCTCAGTTTTTCCTCTCCAATTCTTTGTAGTTGAATTATACAAAATCAAGTTTAGCAAACTGCAATACAACAATCAAAATGAGAAGTGTCCATACTTTCCAGCTCATATAAACTCAAACACTGATATATTGATTTTTAACATTTTCTCACGAGAAATTGTGATATGATATACAACAGATGAAATTTCGGTAACAATTTTGTTAGTAACTTGTAGGTCAGTTCAGTCAGCCCAACAGGGAGTAAGTATGACATGGAGGTAAACCTACACTTTCTTTCCTGGTGAACATGGGAGAAGCTTGCCTTCAGGGCTTTAGCAGCAAGACTTTCTAACATGTGAGTAATGCTGTCAAAGGGTCTCGCCTGACCCAACCCATAATCATTTCCTATACCTAACCCAGCAGTTTTCTATGACCATGCAAACCAAAACACAGTGAGAAACCATAAAAGAGGAAGACATTAAGATAATAACGCAACTGTAAGTCCAAAAGAAATATTTAGTATCCTTATTTTCAAATGGTGCACACATTCAAACTGACTGGGAGACAGGCCTGTGTCTGATCCATTTGTTCACCATGGCCTCCTACCTACCTTTGTGGACTGCAACGATGACCTCTCCTCCTTTCAATCATACTGTCAGTGTGAGAAGTGAGTAACCAGAGAAGTGTATTTATATTGACTCTGGACATCTGCCTTGACGTGTCACGAGGAAGAACCCGGAGGCTGAGGTTAGAGTGAGAAAAAGAAGATCGAAGAATGGGACACTGATACAGGGAAGTTCTGGCGTCTGCAGCCTCAAGGGGCATCTGTTGCTTTGTTTCCCAGGCCAGGTTGAGTATGAGTGAGCAAATTCAGTTTATAAGACAAGCAGACATGCAGAATCAAAACTCAACACTACCCCTTCTGGCATAAGTGACTTTGAAGAACAAAGATGGGGTGATAGACGAGGCAAAGTGCAATAATAGGGAAAGCACACTAATGCCACACTTGCATTTTGCAGGTAAGAGTGATTCTGCATTAGGAACAAAATAATAACAAACACCCTCGATTTAAAAGCCATTTTAACAGACAATCATCAGAATTTGTCTCATGATTAAATGAAAGAAGCTTTGTTGTAAAGAGATTAATAAGGCAATGACATTTACGGCGTCTTACATATAGAATCTTTTAGTTTACCCTTAACTGATCATTGCCTTATAAGAGAAATACACATTTTAACTTAATTAATAAATGAGATTAATTTTAACAGCAAGTAATGGAAATGTGTGGTTTTAGGTGATAACAAAAGAAAGCCCAGCAGCCAGTTTTATACAAGCTTTATTTACAATGTCATTTTTAGCAGTGTAGGAAGCACGTTTTCATCAGTAAGCCCTCATTGGACAGGTGCTATAATCCAAAGTAGACAGGATTTCTACTTTCCTCATTCTTAAAATGTCTACACGCTTCCCAAGTCACATACTTATGTACATAGTGTGTTTGTATACAAGCTATATAAAACTTGGCAAATGGAAGGTTATTTGCTACTTCAATACGAATTTTGTTCATTTTCACAGAGTAAAAAACAAAAGCAAAACAAAAACCTACAGCAAACACTGCACGTTATGATTACGACTTGTTAACAGCTCCCTGTTCATATTTTCTTTCTAATACAGTTTGACTGGTCTCCATTGTAGGTGCGCAACCAGCTAACAACAGAGAATACTGGGTAGTCATTTCATCTTAAGCATGTTTTAAAAGAAAAATGCACTACATTAGGACAGAGTTTTGTAGGATTACTGCTTTTCTCAATTAGAGTTCGGTTAATTAGAAAACAATGAGTAATAACCTCAGCATTAGGTAACTTTACTTTGTACTGACAAAGAAGTGGCATTGACGAGGTCTGAAAGTAGTCCAAACTAGCCGATTTGATGTATTATTAAAGAACAAACAGATGCAAATAAGAGCAACAAAACACAGGAGCTGATTTCACTGGGATAAAAGGGGTTAAGACATTGTGCTTTTTCTTAAGGGAGATTAAAAAAAAAAAACGTTTTCCTCAAATCCCTGATATAAATCTCAACAGGTCAACCCCAATGTGGATGTGTTTCATTATATACAGATTTCTTACCAGCGTATGGGGATGGACGGTTAAGAGTTCTGTGGAATAACATTTACAGCTGAAACTGCAGAGGTCACAGGCTAATGGTTTCAAAAACTCTGGGACAAGACACCGCCGTACTTTGCTACTGACTTCATACTTGAAAATATTCATCCACTACTCAGTTTTGGAAAACAAACATGACTTACAGAGATAACATTTTAATGCAGTTAAACATCCATCCTCAAGAGCTAATGAACCTCTTTTCCCACTAAAAAGAAAGAAAAAAAAACAACAAAAACCCACCAGTCTTTGCAGGCATTAAAAAACATGACCATTTGTAGGGCTGAAGTAAATTATTAAATTAAAAATAAAGAGTGATTTGTTTGTTAAAGCAAAAGAAAAAAACTTTTTAAATAAAACGATTTCTAAGAAAATTCTCCTACTTAAGAAACGGGAGGTACATGTTCACAAACTTTATCTTCCTTTTGTTGCATAAGACAAGTATTTAAATGATGGATAAATTACATCCACTGTAACAACATGAGTGGTGCTATAATACTACTAAAAGTTTAACACTGCTGTACAAGCAGCAAAAGAATAAGCTGTTAAGATTAAAAAAAAATGCACACCATGAATCATTTAAGCTTATGTAACATATCAAATAGAAGTAAAATAGATTAAAAGCAGAGAAAAGCCCACATTAAGCCCAACACAATAATTTATGAAGTTAAAATCCATATTTAACATTTTTCCCCAAATAACAAAATAAATGTGTGTGTAAGATCTATTGTTACAGAAAGAAAAGGACCAAATTAATGTTTTCATATAACAAATAAAAAAAGGCACTAAATCAGATGATGCAACCAACGCTCTTATTTAAATTAATGTATGCAGTCATACTTTTGACATACATTTAACCTTGAGTCCCGCTTTTCAATAGTTTCATAATCTTTAGGGAAAATAATGACATTTATTTAAAGAAGCTACATAAAATGTACAATATTACTCTCAGTAACATCAATGGTTCTCCATTACTAATACTGTAACATGTTTAAGTAGTAAGCGTCCAAATACAGGATGCCTCTCAACTGTCTGATGTGAAGGGCCTTTAAAAAAAAAAAAAAAAAAAAAAATATATATATATATATCTATATCTATATCTATATCTATATCTATATATATCTATATATATCTATATATATCTATATCTATATATATATAGATATCTATATATCTATATATCTGTATATATATATATATATATATCTATATATCTATATATCTATATATCTATATATATATATATATATATATATATATATCTATATATCTATATATATATATATATATATATATATATATATATATATATATATATATATATATATATAATTAATATATTTTTTTTTTTTTATATTTTTTAGGAGAGTCTATGGTCAGCAGGACCACTGGAGACCATTTCCAATTTTAGTGTGATGAACCAATTTTACTTTAAGTGAATAGACGGCACATCAGCCTGCATGAGCTAATGCACGGTTTCATGTCTGTACTACCAAGAATTTTCAAATCCAAGGTAAAATACACCAAGATATGGTAGGGCACAGGTTATTTGCTTCTAAAAAAAATATTAATCAATTAGGAATCAACTGAAATTTGGCTACTATCAGAAACACTATGTAGATGTGCGTTTAACAAAACAAAACAACAAAAAACTGCAAGCAGGCTTAATGGGGGCTTTTACTGCTTTTCAAAACACATCTGTAACAATGTCTTTCATTTAAACACTTTATATTTATATCTCTGCAAACACTTTTCGGGCAGCATTGTTGCCTTTAGTCCAAAACTGGTTGCATTCAATACTTGAGGTAAAAGCACTTTTAAGATGCAATCTAGCAACATGTTCAGGGCTTTCATAAAAATACTTACTGTAGAAGTTAAAAACAGAATGGAGTCCTATTTTGTTATGCATACTGATTTGCCGGTTATACCTCTCAAATATTACCCCAATCCTCGAGCCACACAAATAAACAGAGTATGCAGGAATATGTCATTGAGGTATCCCTAAGCAGCCAAACAAAATCAAGTTAGACATAAATACTAGAGAACAGGCCTATTTAAACCCAAAACTTGACTGACAGATAACTGGCTTACTCCACTCCTTTTTCCTGGTTGTTTGTCACAGCAAAATCTCCAGTGTTAAATTAACACTGGAGAGTGTCTATATGGGTCCACACCTCTGAGTGTTAAATACAACACTGTTGAGTGTTAAATTAACACTTTTGACAGTGTTATATGTTTAAAAGTAACCTAGTCAGTTTTGAAGATTAACAAAGACTAACACTGAGCAGTGCTGATTTTCTAACACTGGAAAATAACTCAAAATGTTAGAAATATTTCAGTGTTAGAAAATCAGCACTGCCCAGTGTTAGTCATTGTTAATTTTCAAAACTGACTAGGTTACTTTTAAACATATAACACTGTCAAAAGTGTTAATTTAACACTCAACAGTGTTGTATTTAACACTCAGAGGTGTGGACCCATATAGACACTCTCTAGTGTTAATTTAACACTGGAGATTTTGCTGTGTAGGTGTAACAGACTTGATGCAGTGTGGAAGCAAACAAGCAGGCATGTTTATGAAGGCTACAAGAGGGGAGGAGGAGAGAATGTAACAAAGAGCATCAGGGTGTGGGGAAAGGAGTCGGAATGGTGGAAAAATTAACAGGGGAAAGGAGAGCGAAGGTTTTCTTTTCCAATCCCGTTCCTCCCCGGGTTTGTCTGGAGGTTATAATGCGTGACACCGCAGAGGGTTGTTAGTGCTCGCGCTGCTGCTAGTGGGCTGGTTATTCGCAGACTTGAGTCAATGCAAAGTCATGCAAACAGGTAGGTAGTTCATGCACGCGTGCCACAGCCTAGCCCAGCTGGGGGTCAGTGTAGGCCACATAAAGAACAGGCCAGGCTACACAAGGCTCGGGCAGGTCATTGGTGTGCCAGTCATGCAGGGACATTGCTGTTGAGGGAGGGGAAAAAAAGAAAAAAAAGAAAAGAAGTAATGGTCAGATGGCAGGGCTTTTTAGCCTAAAATCAACAATCTGCTCCTGATCTAACACCAAGCAAAATTATTTCAAGGTTAGTAAGTTATGATTCCTGATATGCGTTAAAACTGGAAAATGACAACGGAACAAACAATCGGTTAAACACATATTGAGAAAAGCATACCCTATTTAAGACTCCCATTTAAAGTTATATACCTGTATGTAGTGCGCATTTTAAACACCCTTTAGCAAACCTGGAAAAAAAGTGCTTTTTACTGTGACAGCAATGAGCTGATTATAGAAAGTGATATGGAACAGTCCACTCTGATGTGTGACACTGAACAGGTCTTCATGTCCACTCTGCAGATGATCCAGAAACTAAATCTCTTTCAACAGACAGTCCTCAGGTCTAAAACTCTCCAACCATCTCACCGCTAAACGTTCTGTGAATACATTATTTTGTCACGTCATATTAGGGGGAAGGTAAACCTGACAGATTGCCAAGGTACAGACATTTATATCAAACACTATGGCACATAAGGTGTTGTCTGTCAACTCTGTAAATGCTGGTGGCTCCTTGTTCTCTTAGATACTTAAAACTAATTTACACCAGTATGTACACTAGCACAGGAAATCTATCAAGTCTTAAATTGCACCACCTGGAACAATTTCAAAACCTAAAGAAGTCTTTTTTTTTTACTTCGGGGAAAAAAGCTACCATTCACAATTATTGCTGCACCATTACCAACAATCATGCAGTCCTATTTGAAATCACTCAATTAAATCAGTTAGAACATTTAGCAAGCAAATCAAAGATTTACACGAGACATTACATAATCCTATGCTTCGATGTATTTGCTGGTCGAGACTGAAATGAAACACTGACACATTAAACTAAAAGTTGCTTTTACCTCCTTAAAGCTACATCATAAAGAGTTACAATAGATGACGCAGGACAGAAAAGCTGTCAAGTCCACTGCAAAAAACAAGCTGAACTTGAAAATGTTACTACGGGTAGAGATGTGCATAAATACTGCATGAACAGGTAGAGCGGTTCCTCTTATCAAAAATTACAGTAACTTGACAAGGACACGCGATTCTTCTGAGCCTTGCAGTCTGGAAAACCTGCATGGCACAAGTTTACTACATAGCACAGGTTCAAGAAGGTCAGTGGTAGAGAGGGAGGAAGAAAGGATGTTTGGTGTGATTGGTCAGAACCTATTAAATATGCTGAAGCCTGATAAAAGGTAGAAGTCTTGCATGATGGGCGTCAAGGTAAAATACGCTTAGGGGGAGGAGGAAAAAAAAAAAGGTGCAAGATTTGGGGGCAACCTTTCTTGGCATCTCTACCTCATGGATCTGATCAAGAAGGAAAAAAAAAGAAAATCAATCGGCAGGAAATGCAGGAAAACATTTACTTCCATTAGAAATGAATGAAAACAGAACGCCTCAAAATAGGCACATCGTTCGGGGGACTTGTAAAATAGCTGGCTGCAGCATTTCGTGCCCTACTGCCATCTACCTGGCGGTAGCTGACTGGGCGTGACCGGGATACTGGCGCCGGGTGCTGGTGGCTTGTCTCTGCCGGGCCAGGAAAGACTGACCAGAACCAGTGTTGGCGAGTCGATCTTCAGCAGCCTTCTTCTGCAGAGACATACCCTGGTAAAAGAAACAGAGGAGGAAAGCTTAAGGCCCCATTTGAAAGTCACTACAAATCAGCAACACTCCAAGTCAAAGACAGCCCTCAAGAAGGAGCGCAGACTGTTAACACACATATTAAGACAGTTATTAGATTATCTGCTAGTTAGTCCACCAAGCCTGAGGTATAGGAAATTAAATTAGCTGACATTCAACATTAGTGCTGATTTAGCAGCTCATGAACAATAATACCAGCAACTGAGGAGATATATAATGAGCAAACAGCCATTGACGTTATTGAATAGTCTGTGCTGCCATCTAGTGGTGATTTTCTTGGGCAAACAAAAAGGGGTGTTTACCCTCTGTGGTAGAGAAATGTATTATATCTGTTATCTACAGCAGAAAACATACGCAACATTTAAAAAAAGCTCCAATTATAACATTTTTGTCTTTCAATGCTTTAGTAGATGCTTTGTTCAGCTATGAATTACTTCCTGACAGTAGCTATTTCTGTGTATTGCTATTATTACACTGAACAAAAATATAAACGCAACACCTTTGTTACTGCTCCCATTCCCCATGGGATGGACGTAGAGACCTAAAATTCATTCCAGATACACAATATAACCATCCCACCCAAACAGTGGTCACAAATCAGTCCAAATGTGTGGTAGTGGGCACATCTGCCATATTGAGATAATCCATCCCACCTCACAGGTGTGCCACATCAGGATGCTGATCTGACATCATGAGTAGTGCACAGGTGTACCTCAGACTGCCCACAACAAAAGGCCACCCTGGAATGTGCAGTTGTGTCTCACAGCAAAATGCCACAGATGCCACAAGCAATGAGGGAGCGTGCAATTGGCATGCTGACAGCAGGAATGTCAACCAGATCTGTCGCCCGTGCATTGAATGTTCATTTCTTAACCATAAGCCGTCTCCACAGGCGTTTCAGAGAATATGGCAGCACATCCAACCGGCCTCACAACCGCAGACCTCGTGTAACCACACCAGCCCAGGACCTCCACATCCAGCAGGTTCACCTCCAAGATCGTCTGAGACCAGCCACCCAGACAGCTGCTGGAACAATTGGTTTGCACAACCAAACAATTTCTGCACAAACTGTCAGAAACCGTCTCAGGGACGCTCAACTGCATGCCCGTCGTCCTCATCGGGGTCTTGACCTGACTCCAGCTCGTCGCTGTAACAGACTTGTGTGGGCAAATGCTCACATTCGATGGCGTCTGGCACGTTGGAGAGGTGTGCGCTTCACGGATGAATCATGGTTCACATTGTTCAGGGCAGATGGCAGCTGAGAATGTCCCAGTTCTTGGATGGCCAGCATACTCACCGGACATGTCACCCATTGAGCATGTTCGGGATGTGCTTGACCGGCGTATACGACAGCGTGTACCAGTTCCCACGAATATCCAACAACCTCGCACAGCCATTGAAGTGGAGTGGACCAACATTCCACAGGCCACAATTGACAATCTGATAGACTCCATGCGACGATGTGTTGCACTGCATGAGGCAAATGGTGGTCACACCAGATACTGACCGGTTCTGGGTCCCCAGACAGGCAGAAAAAAAACTGCAATCTGTGGCATCTTGCTGTGAGACAAAACTGCACATTCCAGGGTGGCCTTTTGTTGTGGGCAGTCTGAGGTACACCTGTGCACTACTCATGATGTCAGATCAGCATCCTGATGTGGCACACCTGTGAGGTGGGATGGATTATCTCAATATAGCAGATGTGCCCACTACCACACATTTGGACTGATTTGTGACCACTGTTTGGGAGGGATGGTTATATTGTGTATCTGGAATGAATTTTAGGTCTCTACGTCCATCCCATGGGGAATGGGAGCAGTAACAAAGGTGTTGCGTTTATATTTTTGTTGAGTGTACTTGCTTGGCCACAAATCTCAGCTGTATGTGCCACAGTGCATTTTAAAAAGAAGACCAATCGTCTGTATCACCAGGATTTGCTTCAGACTGTATAGGTGCTCCTTACCATATTGTACCAGGCTGACACAATCAGTTTCTCCTCGTGATCTCTTTGGCTCTTTGTCTTGTCCATTTCTTTCTGTTTGGAGGAAACATGAAGGCAAAATCAACCTTAGAGTGGAGGATGTTTCTAAAACAAATATTGGCACATGAGTCTATTACTTATTTTGCCAGGCCCTTTTTTTCAGGCACCCTAATTCCCAACTAGATAATTGATTACCTCCAGTGAATGCAACATCCTCTCCTTCTCCTGCAGCTGGTTTTTCAGGGCTTGGACTTCAGGACCTGAACCTTGGTTCTGTTTGGGGTCCAGTGTTCGGATTACCTGTGAAGGACACATTCAGGTTATGTTTGGGGTTTTTTTTTTGTGTCCCATACAGCCCGCCCTAAAGAAGACTATTCATTTATGGACCCTTTGCTAGTAAACATTTACTCACACTCTTGGCTTTTTCGAGGTATTTCTTGTATCGCTCCTCCATCTGTTTCATGTCTTCATCTTTTTTCTTCAAGGCCTCTTCCAGCTCCTCCACTCGTTGGACTGAGAGGGGAAACGGCATCTTAGTTTAGATTTCCTTTAAACTGACTCATACATTTTAATGTCAGTGCATGAAGAGTTACCTGTACAGCAACATTACACACAAAATGTTTTAAATGTCAGCGTGTTTTGCATATTCAGATATCACCGTAAACTCACTGCTGGTGTTGTATTTCGGCTCCATTTCATCAATGAAGGCATTTTTCTTCAGCAGCTCATTATTCAGCTCTTGTACTTTTTCCCTAAGAAAAAGAACATTGCACCTTATATCAGGTAGCTCACAATATGAAATGCAGAATTAAGCGACATGGGCAAATTAAGTTAAAACACACTCACATGTGCTCCTCATATTTCTTCTTCAAAATAGAAGACTGGAAGAAAAAGAAGAAAACAAACAAAACGGGCGAATGTGTTAGAAATCCTGGTATCAAAATTCAATCATTCCTGTACGTTGAACTGTTTTTGGAAAAGATCATGATCCAAGATGTGGAAAGATGAAGAGATGAAGAGACCTTCAGTATAGTCAAAGTGTTGATGATACTGAGAATGTACAATTAAAGCAGGAACCTAATTTCTTTACATTTTGAATCAGCACCAGTCCCCAATTTGACATCAAGGCGACGTGCAGCCAGTATAGACAAAACTCATTTTCAGAGTACTGAGAGATTACATGCTCCGATTGCTACAGGGAAGCTAGAGGAGAAGACAAGGACTTTGGGGTTTCTATCAGGGGAGGGGATTTAAAACTACTCACAAGAACAGAGAATATTTGCGACTTGCTACTACTCTAAAGTGTAAATGCTACATTCGGTTACACATTCTTGTCAATATAAATATGTTTTAAAAAGCTATGCAAACATCAGAACTGAAAAGTCTAAAAGCTGCAACTTGCTGAAATCACAAAGATATACTTACTATAGTCTGACAGTGGAGAACAGTTGGAAAATAACAATAACAAAAGAACAAAATGGCAAAAATTAAAAAGAGGTGCCAAATGTGACATAATAATCTGACAGTTTCACATCTTTGATTCTCACATAAATGTTGCATCTGTACTTTCAATGTTATTTGAGGGAAATAGTTTTCCATTCTCTTCTTTCTGTTGCATGATTTTAGACACTGTTCTCGTGATACTGAGTGAAAGGAAAGATGAGGCTGATACTGAGATCTAAGATCTACAGTGACGGACAAGAAATTAAACCAGAAACCCCACAAAAGAAAACAAGTTTTAGATCAGTGTTAATCAGGCAGTAAAGACAAAGTTAAACATGCACGTAAACTCTCTTCCTCACATCAACCTTCCTGGGAGATGCTCCAAATCGCATTTTCTTAAAAATCTGTTGTCCCATACTAGGAACTAGTTTGAAAGAGACAAGGAACAGAGAGGAGGGCCATGAAAACATTTAGCATCAGAGGTGAGGCGGCAGGCAAATGTGTTAATAAGATGGAGAAAAATTAGAGTTGCTGAATTGCTGAGGAGCTTGGATTAATCTCGTTCACTGTCGCAATCAAGCCTCAAACACCTGTCTTTAACATGGCTAGACATCGTCCCAAGAAAGCTAGTGTGTCTAATGCTACAGCAGAAATAATTGTAAATAAATAAATAAAATGACATATGCGCAGAAAGGGGAATGCAAAAGCTGTTAGAAGTTGTTAATGTTTACAGTGCATTGAGGTAAGCACAAGAATTAAAAAGGCTGATGTTGTGAAAAAAATGTTCGTTGCCTTTTTCACTATTGCACATGACTTTCCAGGACCTAAGCCGTCAGTAGAAACAGAGCACTGCACTCTCTGAAGTGTAGTTTGATTGCTTTCTGTGTTTACTGCCACCAGTAAACTGGTGCTGGAATTAAACACAGTATGAGTACATGAGTACAAGCATTTACTTACATCATCTGCTTTTGAACCCTGTTCTTGAAGATTCTTTTGTAGCTCCTCTACCTGACTCTGTTCCTCCATCAAGCGCTGATTTATCAACCTAGATAACAAGTAAAACGTTTCACCACAGTGTTGTTATTTTCAACAAATCAGTGACCAAACTGCAAAATAAACTGTTGTAGATCCAATATTAGAAGGAGATTTTTAGCTGATAAGTCATTCACTGAAATACAACAAAGACAAGAACAACTGTGTGGAGAAGTAAAGGCGAGAATCACCCACATTCCAGCACACAAGTGAAAATGTGGCTCAATATTAATATGAACAGACCAAAAGGAAGAACAATATTATTGTTTGCTCTTCTCAGATTCTATATCAGTGAGACACTGGGTTCAGTAATAGGTGATTTCCTGTTAATACCAATAAGCTATATGTCTTTGTGCTCGATGCCAACCTGTTCTCTGTCTCCAGTTCATTTTTTCTCCTGTTGGCATCCTCGAGTAGACTCTGCAACAGAGCGATCTTCTCATTGTCTGATCCCTCCTGAGCCAGTTTCAGCATCTTGTTTTCATGCTGAAGACGAATCACGTGTTCTCTAGAAACACAGAAGCATCAAGAGCATTAAACTCAAATAACAAGCATTCTTGTTTTATACCACAGTCTCAAAAATGCTTCAGAATATTAGTCTAAATGATGAACTTAAAATTCGCAATATTTTGTTATTTATTTATTTTATCATCTCGTGTTAGTATAGGGCACAACGTGCAGAAAGGGAAACCTCAACCACAACAGGAAGAGGGCTCACTTTGAAATGGTGTACTCCTGTGCACGGAAACATACACACAAGCAAGCTCAGGTCAAGTAGTGAGTGTAAGTGAGATATTCACTTCAGCGTAACTAATCACTGTAGTGAATCACCTTATTACAACACTGTCTGCTTAATGAATTATACCTATGGCCTGCTCCGTTTTAGTGCTCCTGACAGTGTTACAGCAGTGGGTTAAATCTGACAAATTCCACACTTGAGTCAAAAATGTTATCTACACAAATTTGGTTGGATATTCCCTGTATTTAATACAGCAGGAGATAAAGCTTGAGGCCAGCCTTGTCTTGGGCTCTAGTGTGACAGACAGCCAAATGAATATAAAGCACCTGAGAGCCTTACATTCAGCTAATCACCAAAACAGCAGGATGGGTAGGAAGCTTTGTGTCAAGCCCTGTTTTTAGGGCATGGCACATGAATCCATTCCAACTGAAGAACTGTTGTTTCCAAACAATTTATTACTGACTACAGGTACTGACTACGACTTTCAGGTGAGGTGCAGTTGGCTGAGGGACTGAATTTTCAGCTGCGAGTGCGACTCCCTGTTTTACAGTTCAGATCAAATGAACAGGCAACAGGTGCCTCTTATAAAAGCAGCATGTTGATACTGAAAAGTCACCAAAAGACATCAACTGGAACATAAAGTCATTAGTCATTCACAAAACAACATGTTTTCATCATTTACCTTTACAGTAAATGAACTGCCTGGATGGGGTTAACCTTCCCTCTCCCTGAAAGTAGCTTTTAGAAGATTTGTATACAAATCCACATTTTTCCTGGGTTCACAAGTACTGAATAAAAATTTAAGCATATTATCCAGCCAACAGAAAATCCAGCTGTCCTGGAAAGCTGCTGGCAGTCTGATGTAACTCACACTCAATTATTACATAACGCTCTACAGGGTTTTTAAGCTAAACCCATCCACCATAAAACAGCAGAGAAAGCCTTGAAGCGGGCTTGAAACTATCTGGTTGTAAAATAAATTACACTAGAGACATACTTTACTATCCAAAATTTAGGAATCAAGCCTTAAAAAGTGAATTTATTTTACCAGAGCATTAGTTATATTCTTTTTGCATAGTTTGCTGTTGTATTTGTTACTCAGTTATTAGTTTTTTGTTCTTTTTTATTTTAAAAACCAACTTCTAGGATGATCTAATATCATTATTCTTCTCTTTCATTTAAAATAATCAAACTGGCACAAAAACATATGGGTTAAAACATACACACACACACACACATACCGCATCTCTGGAGTGGTGATCTCAGCAGCCAGTGAATCAGAACCATCGTTGCTACCCAATGGGAATAAACCTTTAAATACAGATATTAGTTGTAAATAAGATGAGCAAGAATTCATTAAACTTATAAGAGGCAAAGCTACACCTATTATATTTCAGGACAAAGACATTTCTTCACCTGATGTGAACTGTCCCTCTTGAGCTTGAACACAGTGTAATTCCTCAATAGTTTCCTTCAATGAATCTCTCTCACTTCGCATACGCTATAAAGAGACAAAGAGTCAAACGTGTGAATGAGCGAGACAGACAGAAGGTCAAACAGCAGAAGTGCAGGATCTGGAATCAACATCAGTGTGCTTAGTAGTAAAACATTTCCAGTAAAATACTTTCCAGACAGCTGCGCAAGTACCAGTTATCAAGAGCCTTTGGTCAAAATTTCCTCTCATGCTAAGTTACAAGGTTTGGCTTTTCTAGCTGTAACAAATTTGATTTCATCTAAAAAGAGAAACAGGTCTGAAAGAACAGTAAAGTGGCATATTTCATAAAAACAAAACAAACAAAAAATTAAAGTAATTCTTTTGTATGTCATCAGTCCTAATTTTAGTCACATTAAATATACGTACATCTTTTTCTTTTTGTAAAGAATCGACTTTCTCTTTGAGGCGTTTATACTCAAACTCCATCTTGTCCGCCTTTTTAGACTCCTCTGACAGTCTGTTCTGAAGTTCAACCACCTGTGAAGAGAGATGACAGTTCAAAAGAAGACCTGATCGCTAAAAAATTATTACACAAGCATGAAAATTGTAAAACAGTACTAAGACTGGGAAAATGTAAAACTTATTTATTTAGGAACAGGTACCTGTCTCTTGTACGTCTCCAACTGGGCTTTGGCAGCATTCGCCTTTCGTAGCTCTTCCTCTAAGCCAACATTAGCCTGCATTAAAGCTGTGGTTTTCTCTTCCATAAGCTTGTTCTGGAAAATACGGACATACATTTTTTTTTTAGACTGAAAGTCATGTTTCACAATCTGATTTACACGTTTTCAAGAACTGCAGTGATAGCACTCATGAGAATAAAAGCTGTATTAAAGTTGCTGTGTGTGTGTGCGCGCGTGTGAGTGAGAGATTGTACTTGTCTTCTGAGCAGTCCCATGTCCTCCAGTTTCTTCTTGTAGTGTTCCACGGTGCCCTCCAGTTTTGACACCTTGTCAGATGAGTGCCTGCGATGAAAACAACAAGCAGTTTTATTTTCACCACTGTCATACTGATCCTGCTGATTTCCACACTGGATTAGTTAAAGTTTAGTTTATGGACAGATAACAAGCTGTAAAGCGAAAAGTTTTTTAAGCCATAGTGTTTTCTTGGCTCTTTTATTTTCTGTCTTTAGGCCAATACATCTACTAATGAATGAATGCTAAAATTAAAACGTGTGCTTCACAGCACCTTAGCTAGAATTACTACAAACAACAAAGCTTCTGTCTTATTAGTTTTTTAGTTTGTTTTAATTTAATAATTTTAATATGTTAAGGGTTCGTTTTGCATCCTCAAAATACCTGAGGACATCAATCTCATCTTTTAGAGACTGGGCCTCATCAGCCAGTGATGTAAGGTCTTCATTCTGGGACTTCACATCCAAAAGTTCTTTTTCCAGCTCCTCACAACGGATCCGGTAATCATCTTTTGCTGCCTCCAACCTAGAGGGAATTAGAAACAAGTGTCATTGAGCCTGCAGATTTTGGGAATTAATCAATTCAACCCTGACTTGTTGAAATTCCTTTCCACGTTGCATGCAAATCGAGACCTGAAGGTTTCTTCCTGTAGCTGCTCCAGTTGCGTCTGCAGCTGAAGATGTCTGCGTCCAGCAGGGCTGTTTATATCCTCTATGGAGTCAGACTGGTTAAGTCTCTCCATTAAGACCTGGTTTTCTGCTAGCAAACTGCTCTTCTCCTCTTGCAGGGCTGCCACCTGGAGAAAGGGAAGTGTTGAAGAAAAGGCCAAAGAATGGGATACACGAAATCATGAGTGAAATGAGAGGAATGGGATAAGAAAAGGTGAAAAATGGGACAGCGTGGAGAAAAGAAAGATTAACGGGAACACAAAAGGTGTGGAAATGATCGATTGAAGGGATTTTAAACACATGAAAAGAAGAGATGCAGAAGGGAAACAAGTTAGAGATGATTTATAACTTTCACAATGTAGGTAAGCTACTTTAATTTGCTTGTTTCCTTTACAGCATCCAGGTCCATTAGTTTAACAAACACACACCAAACACACCTTAATAAGGCAAATCAATTAACTCCAACATGGCAGAGAGAGCTACATGGTTGGTGTTTTCTCAGTGTGATGGGCAAAGCAAAGCAAAAGCTGCTGCTGCATTTTAATGTAAACAGTAAAAATTAGATATATTGATATAATTTGTTGAGAGAAAATACAAACCTTCTTTAAAAAATTAATATAATCAGTCAATAAGGAAGGGATTTTTATTAATTTGCCTGGATCAAGTCTATAAACATGCCTTAAAACACTGGAAAATAATTTAATCCTTCTGGGACTTTAGGAAAATTATCTAGTGAATCTATTTGCTCTTTTTTATTTTATTTAAAAATGCATTTTAAACTAATATGGTGTGACTCACTCTCTCTTCTAAAAAGCTTAACACTTCCATGTCTAAAATTCCTACGAAATTCCTTGTGAAAATTCCCTTATGGCAACAAAACTGTATCACATCAAAGATGCGAACCGTGCAGCTCAAAACGCAGGAAACAGGGTGAAAATCAGCTGCAATTAATTCCAAAACCAGCACACGGGTTCCTCAAAAGATACCAAGTGCCTTCAGGTACAGGCTTAATAATTTTGCTGACTGCTTGCTGATCAGAGTTATGCAACCAAAAAAAGAAAAAATAAAAATCTGAAGACTGCATAATGTTTAAACAGTGATGAACGCATTTTTCCAATAAGTGACTCATTTCTGAATTCAAATGTTAACCTATTTCCCTCGCTTTCTACTATTGCTGTGGAAAAGCATGGGACACACCAAGGTAAAAGAAAGCCACATCTGACACAGCCAGACCAAACTGCAGTTGTGCCTGGTGTGCTCCAACAGGACAATGTGTACAGTTGCACAAATGCTTGTGCACAAATGCTTGTGCACAAATGTGTACACATACATGCACACAGAATTTGGAAAAGGGGAACCTGTTGCAAGCAGGCTAAAGAAAATCACACACCATGAACATAAGAAAGAAACAAAGAAAATAAAGTCTGGATTTACCCTCTCTTCTAGCTCATTAAAGTCTAACCTCAGTCTATCACGCTCCTCTTCTGCACGGAGAGCCTTTAAACCAAGGCAAACAGTATTGAAAGAGTAAAGAGGAAAGATAAGAGGAAACTGATTCAACACAAGTGGAGAGCAAGTATCCCTTTAAATTACAGCTCCACTTTTTGGCAACAACTGCAATTAACAGTCTTTCATTTACAGTGAAGATTTTGGGCTGGTGGGTCAGATCGCCAATTTGGCAAGGCAATTATTAAATAAGGAACTATGGGACATGCGAATCAGTAGCAACTGAATCAACAATTTTGATGACATCAATCCAAAAATGGAGCTGCTTTTAAAGTGTAACTAAAAATATCTGTAAACTATATTATGAAGTATGACACTTATGTAACAAATGAGTTAGAGCAGAAAAGTTGTTCACAACCTTATTGTAATAGGTTGTAGTGGAGTGTAGTGGAAGAGTAAATGTACACGGTGCTAGCTGTGAAGAGCCTAAAACCACTGGCCGTTATTCATACAAAACCAACCTGCAAGTCAAGCTCGCGACACCTCTGGGCAATCTCTTCCTTGGTAGCCAAAGCATCATTCAGCTCCTCAACTGTCTTCTTCAGCTGAAAACAGATTAAGCATAAATCAAGAACTGCTGCTCCTCAAAATGTTTTATGTAGTACACTTAATAAAAAAGGAAAACAATTCCATGCAGACTTGTGAAAAATTAAGTACATCCTTAATATTTTCATATAAATTAAGAGGGTAAGTAGCAGTCAGGTGCTGCTAATCAGTGGATTCACTGATCAAAAAAATAATAATAATAATAATTTTAATTCAATCTAATCCAATAGCAAAGAAGGTTTATAGAAAGACAATATAAAAGCAGTAAAACTACACACAACAATAAAAACATTGTTGTTTTTATTGTTTTTATTAAATTTACATCCAAAAGATTCCAAGTACACAAAATCATAAGACAGCCAATCAGCACACCTCCTACCATTTGTCAGCCACAGGATATGGCTGACAGATGGTACGAAGCACCTTATAGTAATTGAGTGGATCATGAACCGATCTGTATACCAAAGTATTGAAGAGTCAAATGTGAGGCCATTTGTCTGACAGCATGGCCAAAATTGGGTCAACAGACCAAGCACAGCAGCAAATGTACAAGAGATTGCTGAAAAAGTAACGATCACACTGTTGCAATGACGGAGTCAAAGTCTAGATCTCAACCTGAGTGAAATGCTGCATAGGAGCTTGTCAAAGCTTGAAATCTACATACCTGTCTGTCCAGATCCACATATGAGTCAGTTCCTCCTGTAGCTGGAGTCTCTTTAGTCATCAGCTACAGATACAAACAAAAATGATTAGAAGTGAAAACAACACTAGCGATGGATACCATTAGTTTTATTGGTATCAATATTACTATTTATCATCATTCCTGAATCGAATAGGTTTCAAATTTATAATTAACAATACCAGTGACCAGAGTGTGTTTTTTTATCCATAAAAATGTGACCAGTTAGCTGTTGATCACTAAAAAGCAAGAATCAAAGACTCTTACTTTCATTTATTAGTTATTATATGCACATAATACTTTTTAAAGGTCTAAAATAGATAACAAGGTACCTCTTGGATGGCAGTCATGACAACATGCTGCACCGATTCTTCCATCACCATTATGGTTTTGATGTATTCTAGGGATTAGAGAGAAAACCAAAATTAAGAGTAAGTAAGTATAAAGTAGCACATAACTTTCTGAATCAGTGGGTAAAGCAGGGAGACAACACAGAACATGGGCCTCTTAAATCCAATATTCACCTTGTTTCTGTTCACAGGTGACAGCGCAGCCCAATATAAGTTGTAACATCCTTCCAAGCTCAGCTGCATCAGAGTGTTCTCCAATAAGATTAACATCAGGTAGTGGGAAGTCATTAATATCCTGGCCTAAGACCTAGAGACAAGGATGAAATATGTAAGGGCTATACATTGTATTGGTTTGTATTTATTTATCAGGGTCAATGCACAAGAACATGAATCTCCTAAGAGAAGAGATGCATTCTACCAGATTTACATCAGTTACTGATAGGTTTGTAGCTTGAACCCATCCGCTGGAACGTTGGAGACAATATAATTACACTGCAAAGCAAGACACGAAGTAGGCAAACTTCTTCATGTTTCTCGTGCACGGGAGAGAACCGGACAGGCACCGTTCCTTCGCTTGACCCCAGTTGCTCTCGTCCGTTCTCCCGTACCACTGTTCTTTTATTGAGGTTACATGAATATGCATAAGTTCATTAACATATGACGTCTACATACACACAAAGAGTACCTTGCCTGTGTGTGTGTGTGTGTGTGTGTGTGTGTGTGTGTGTGTGTGTGTGTGTGTGTGTGTGTGTGTGGACTGCTGATCAAAGGGTCAAACATCCTTGGTCAGGAAGAGGGTAGCCTCCCCCTCACCCTAGATGGTTCATCCTAGATAACACGGTGAGGAAGTCCTGCAGTTCATCTAAACAAAGAGCACTTAGACTAGAACAGACGCAACTACGTTAATCCTACCATAAAACAATAAGACACGGTATGACCTCTCATGCTCCCAAAGTGCTGTCTAATACACACAAAGTTTGCAGACTATCAAGGATCAAAACCTCTACCAATCTACAACTAATTACAAAACTCTAAGCATATATAAGTAAATATTTCTAAGCATAAATGACAATCAACAATACAAATCTAACAGTTACTAGATCATTTCTATCCACAGTCACCGGGGAGATCAAGCAATAAACACAAATACACAAAATCACGTAAGCAAGGAAAAATTATCCTAACACAAATTCAACTGGTAGTTCCTTCAATAAAACACAGACTGTAACACAGCACCAAATCCCATATAACAATTACTGTCACACATAAACACAAATAGATCAAGAGGATAAAAGAGAATCCCCCTTTTAACATCACATGAGAAAGAGTGGCAATAAACAGTAGTTCAATGAGCTTATTCCACTTCCTGCCAGCTTTAAACATAAAGGCAGATTGGAACAAAGCAGAGTTCCTTCTAGGAACTTCACAGTCCCCTCGAGCTGTGAGCTCCAAGCTCTGGTTGTGTGTTCTGGGGGGTGGCGCACAATATTATGAACAATTTAAAAAAGTGAGTTGTACGTCTGCATTTTTTAAAGTATTTTACATATTATATACACACATATACAGTGTTTTGGGGTTTAGTCCATCTGGCAACCAGATGAGTGAAAGAAATAGTATTCACTGACCAGTTGCAAGTCATTGCTGGAAGTTGACTGTAGTTGCTGGGAAAACAATTGCTAGAGTGCCAGGCACATAGGCCTGTGTAACCTGTCGCAAGGGGAAAATGTGTATTCCTCAACCAGATGGCAATACCGCCTTGTGATTGTTTTGGTCACTACTATATTGTTGCGTTTATAGTTTGATTGGAAGTGATGGACTTGTCGACAAACTCTTGCCAGCTACTCTCCGAGCTGTTAAACTGTCAAAAGTGAAACAAACCAGAAATGATGAAGGGCTTTATACAAAGTAAAAGTTGTGCCTCAGTGCTGCAGCCAACACGTTTCAAAGGACACAACTTTTACTTACAAGTCGAATGGTCTCCATTTCCAGTAAGTATCACACTTTATGAACTTATCCTACTCCTCAGCTACAACAACACGACAGATAACCTGAAAAGTAAACGCGATTAACTACAGACCACCATGGCAATGTCTTAGCAACCTAGCAATCGGTAGTTGTATCACATCCAATAAAACAGTAAATTTTAAACAATAAAATCACATCAGAAACCTCAAGAACAACTGGATTATTAGGACTTGTGATGACTTAAGCTGACTGGAGTAGAGTAGACAATCACTTCTCTACAAGAATGTCTGGATGTAAAGTACTGAAAGTTCATTTTAAAATCATTATAATAATTTAAATACTCTCACCTCCTGGATATAGTCTAGGATGCCTTTCAAGATTTTCTTTAGATTGCTGATCTGTAAAAGAGAAGAACGTATATTATTAGTAAAATTCAGGTTTAATCAGCAAATACTGATAAAAAAGAGACCATTTGACAAAGCCCATCTCATGCACACTTTGCTATTATTGAAATCAAGAGAAAGTCATGTTTACCTTTAACCTCCAGTTGTCTCCAACGTCTGGCTTGATTCTACTAATCCAAGCATCACTAAAATACACTACATCTCTAGAAATTTCAGACAAAAAACAAAACAAAACAATGCAAAGTGGGCTTTGGTAAAAATAAAAAAAAAAAAAGCATACCAAATGAAATGACTGGGGTTTTTTTTATTCATTTGTGGACTATGGATTTAATATAACTTTATAGAGATTAAACTGTATTTGTTTACCTAAACTTTACAATGATGTAATAAAATTCATCAAAAACTGATTAGAAAGATTGCATTTTCTTTCTACACAAACATTAACAGTAACTACTTACATTTTCTGTAGAACTTGTGCCATGACAACACCACTTGTCAGGTCTTCTACAGTCTTGCATGGAGCCTCTACTCCAAATGTCTGGATCTGAAATAAGTAAACAAAGCGCTGGTTACAGAACTAAACTATACAATTATACAGGAGTAACCAGTGTGTTGAAAACAGCATAACATGTTTGAAACACTAGAAAAAACCTATTATAAGATTAAACGCCCTGTTTTAGGGAATCCCTTGCTCACAATCATACTGTCACAGCTGTATGCTGGCTAGTATCATCACACACTTATCTGCTGTCCACTGAGCAGATCCACCGTACGCATTGCAAATTTTATAATGGTGCCTTTTAATAACTCTCAATCATCCACAGTACTAACAAGAACTCACACTTACTGCTCTTGCGGACTTCACTTGTCATTCTGCTCAATTTCTATTATATCATTATTTCATTATGTCCCTTCTAACTATTTCACATGTCTTCTCTTCCTACCCTCCATATTTTTCTGTAGCATACCCCTCTGGCAGAAAGTCTGTTGCCCAGAAAGAAGTGATATCAGTCTGCATGCCAACTTTACAAGAGCCAAAGGAAGAAGATACACTAAGAAAAGGGATGAAAAACCTAGTTAAAATCCTGTTTGTACATAATTCTGTCTCCCTCACTTTCTATTATATAGTATAGTATATACATAATGCAAGGCCTCTATTAAAAGTAAAAGCCAACCAGCCGTCCACATATTTTGCTCATCAACAACGACACAGGTTAGTGAGGTTTGTTTCTTGCGGCAATCTATTTTTCTGTGAGTGACATAAACTGAATGAATGACACAGAGGTACCAAAAAGACACCAGCAACTTTGTCCCGGTTCTACCTGCTTGTCTCTGTGAGTGTCATCATTTTAATTCATGTCTAGTACGTTTTCCCACCCTGCTTTGTTATGCCGGGGTTGAAATTGAAAAGGCTGAACTGAATACATGTTTATCTCGCTGCAAGTCTGAGAGACTGACTGGACCAAGACTTTTACAAGTGTTTGCTGTCACTACCGAGTTTTAACATTTATTTAAAACTGAGTGTTTTATCTTTTTTTTTTTTTTTTTTAAACAAGATTAAAAATGAAAAATGAATTCACTGTTCTACACACCCACACACATACTTATTGATAAGTGGAAGAAAATGGATGGATGGATGAATTTACTGTACTAAACTAATTTGATTTCTAACTATTTTAACAGTTTCACACTAATTTATATTTTAAGTTAACAATTTAAGTCTGGGACCATGGGAAGTGTGTTATTATGTCACAGAAAAGCAACTAACGGCACTATTTCATCATTAGGAAAGAACAAGATTAGTAAACAAGAAGACACTTGACACTGTGCACCTTAGAAGGACACAGCTCATGTGGTATGAGGAGAGCATGACATTGCAGTAACATCCATCTACAAGGAAAGCTTTTAGACTAGAGTTGTATTTAGGCTGGACATGAAAGGTAACGCTACAGTTTAAATGCGAATTTTGAGTCTTTTCCGCTTGTCTTTTTTTTTGCACTGTAATTACATTGGGGGGCCAATTAGCTGCAAAACTTTATCTATTACTGCTTTCAAAATAAGCGATTTGTCAAATAGTCCTAGGCAGCAGGAACAGAAAGCCAGACACTGGCCAGGAGCCAACACAAAAGAGAACCTAAACAATAGTCGTGATTATGTAACACCAATTACTGGGGAAAAGGCAGAGAAACTTCACCTGATAACCCACACCCACAGTTTTCACTCCATCTACCAGCTCACTTAAACTCTTTTGCCAGCTTTAAAGTACAGGATACAGTTACTTACTAACTTCCTATATTTGATGGAACTGGGATAGACGATAATAGCAAGACTTGCCTCTTAAAACATTTGCTGTGTTAGCTTTTTTAGGCAGTATTAAAATGTGTTACTAAAATACGAGCACGGCAACAACACAAATCCCTTTTCTTTTGAACAGCCACTGAGTTAAGAGGAACTGAGACAAGACAAACATCTAAGTAGAAACGGCTGCATGGATCCCTATTGTTATGAACTTAGTACTGCACAACAGCAATATTTGGTCTGCATCGTTTCCTTTTGCAGGAAAGGCAGACAAGGAAAGAAAATAAAGGAATAGCCAGCCCTGCAAAAACCACACTGACCACTAACAAACGTGACACTATGCTGGGCAGTCCTTAGCTGACAACACGCTGTGAGAGTTGTACAAAAGAAATGAATTCACGGCCCCTGACACGCAATGTGCTTTTGTGCTTGATTTAACGTATTACCTCAAGTCATCTTAAATCAATCAGCTACTTTTCCACTTTGCTGACTGATAAAAATTTCCTTTCATTTTTGTGTGGCTGTAGCTTGAAAAAGATCCTACACTATTCTTTCTAAACAATAGTGGCTTTCATGGTAATGTGAGCTTGACAGCTTTAGCTGCATGTCCCACTGTCCAAACCAGCGCAATACATAGAATAACACTATATAACAAAGCATCGGAAAGGAATGTATGCTGATGTGATTTCTAATAAAAGCCAAAGCTGACCAGTGCAGGTGGGTTGCTTTATGTGCAGGTGCAGGACATTGTGCAGTCACGTTTTCCATGAATGAAGCCAAGTATCATTCTGTTCAGTACACTTATCCTTATAAAAACGCCTTTAGAGATTAGTTAATTATGTCACATTTGGTGTCTTGAATGTTGATCAGGCACAAATCTAAAAACAATTAACCCAGTAATTACATCAGTCACAAATAGCCAATCAGCCTTCAATCAAACCTAATGTTTATCGCCAATATGCTGGATTACATCACTGAATATAAAAAATATGATTTAATTTTATATCCATCCCCTTTATAGTCTCTACGTTTATGTGAATCAAGAGCTAAATACATGCAATCGGTAGTTACAGAGGACTAAATCTAGTTAGTATTTCCTATGCTTTGGTAAATACGGTCTTGGAAAGAAAACTTCGGTGATAGACCTTTGTGTTGCCTCGACTAAAGGGCAACAGAATATGAGCCCCAGTGTAAAATATTATATATAATATTTTATAATATAAGCCTAATTCAAACTTTATTGATTTCAGATGGGATGTCAACTTTTGAGATAGCGCTAGGCTACTAAATGTCCTCTGAATGACATCATCAGCTCATGTTTCAATCAGCTTATTTTAATTAAACTAATCGTGGAACCCTGAAGCACTCGTCCAAGAGCAAAACTGGGCTAATAAATGTCCTCTTAATTATCAGGATCACCTTCCATTCAGCTTGTTACGATTATACTAATCAAGAAGCCTTGAAGCACTTACGAGAGAGCAAAATAAGGCCAACAACCACTTCAGCAACTACTGGAATAGTACCGTCTGCACACCCTGGATTTTTATGAAAAACTGCTTCGACAGCTACCCTTTTGTCCTGCTCAAGGCAACTTCTCTTAAACAAGTGGGAAGCGGTCCAAAGATACCTTCTAGATATCCAATATATTCCCTAACCTATGTTTAAAACCGAACTCTGGTTTGTTTTCCCCCTTGGTGTGGTTCACTTTTATAGATTGTGAACACAATAATCGCAGGTGTGGACAAAAACAACCAATTCGAGACCCTTTGAAGATGTTGGTCTCAGTGCGGCTCCAAATGAACTACAGAGCAGTTTGTTTATAGATGTGCAAAGGTCTGTATGGGCTAGCAATTAGCCGTGAAAAAAAAAACCCCAAAATTTTCCATGTTCTCCAAATGTCCAGAACACAGCACCTTCTTGCTGTAGTTTACTTTTATTGCTCCTTCCGGAAATCCATCTGGCCAATAAGCGGAGTGAAAATTCTCATGTGATTTGTAGTGAGGAATTTTGCTTCACTTGGAGCTCACTTGGATTTTTCTCTGCGTTAAAAGAAACCAGGCAAAAGCGACATGTTTACTAGCACCCCATATGGAAAAGAAATAGTAAAAACTTATATGATTTACTCATGAAAGTGGCCACTTTCTCATTACTTTCATATATTGTTTTAGTAAGTATCCAAAACATACAAGTTTCATTATATATATTACATTATATTACAATTATATATAATTTTTCAATGGATCTTACAGTATATCTGTTTTCACTCTCGTATGCTTTTCATACAAGTTTCACACAAGACACAATACACAGATACAAACTTTATAAGAGATATATATACAGTGGGGCAAAAAAGTATTTAGTCAGCCACCGATTGTGCAAGTTCCCCCACTTAAAATGAGGACAGAGGTCAGTAATTTGCACCAGAGGTACACTTCAACTGTGAGAGACAGAATGTGAAAGAAAAATCCATGAGTCCACATGGTAGGATTTGTAAAGAATTTATTCGTAAATCAGGGTGGAAAATAAGTATTTGGTCAATAACAAAAATACAACTCAATACTTTGTAACATAACCTTTGTTGGCAATAACAGAGGTCAAATGTTTACTATAGGTCTTTACCAGGTTTGCACACACAGTAGCTGGTATTTTGGCCCATTCCTCCATGCAGATCTTCTCGAGAGCAGTGATGTTTTGGGGCTGTCGCCGAGCAACACGGACTTTCAACTCCCGCCACAGATTTTCTATGGGGTTGAGGTCTGGAGACTGGCTAGGCCACTCCAGGACTTTCAAATGCTTCTTACGGAGCCACTCCTTTGTTGCCCGGGCGGTGTGTTTTGGATCATTGTCATGTTGGAAGACCCAGCCTCGTTTCATCTTCAAAGTTCTCACTGATGGAAGGAGGTTTTGGCTCAAAATCTCACGATACATGGCCCCATTCATTCTGTCCTTAACACGGATCAGTCGTCCTGTCCCCTTGGCAGAAAAACAGCCCCATAGCATGATGTTTCCACCCCCATGCTTCACAGTAGGTATGGTGTTCTTGGGATGCAACTCAGTATTCTTCTTCCTCCAAACACGACGAGTTGAGTTTATACCAAAAAGTTCTACTTTGGTTTCATCTGACCACATGACATTCTCCCAATCCTCTGCTGTATCATCCATGTGCTCTCTGGCAAACTTCAGACGGGCCTGGACATGCACTGGCTTCAGCAGCGGAACACGTCTGGCACTGCGGGATTTGATTCCCTGCCGTTGTAGTGTGTTACTGATGGTGACCTTTGTTACTTTGGTCCCAGCTCTCTGCAGGTCATTCACCAGGTCCCCCCGTGTGGTTCTGGGATCTTTGCTCACCGTTCTCATGATCATTTTGACCCCACGGGATGAGATCTTGCGTGGAGCCCCAGATCGAGGGAGATTATCAGTGGTCTTGTATGTCTTCCATTTTCTGATGATTGCTCCCACAGTTGATTTTTTCACACCAAGCTGCTTGCCTATTGTAGATTCACTCTTCCCAGTCTGGTGCAGGTCTACAATACTTTTCCTGGTGTCCTTCGAAAGCTCTTTGGTCTTGGCCATGGCGGAGTTTGGAGTCTGACTGTTTGAGGCTGTGGACAGGTGTCTTTTATACAGATGATGAGTTCAAACAGGTGCCATTCATACAGGTAACGAGTGGGGGACAGAAAAGCTTCGTACAGAAGACGTTACAGGTCTGTGAGAGCCAGAGATTTTCCTTGTTTGAGGTGACCAAATACTTATTTTCCACCCTGATTTACGAATAAATTCTTTACAAATCCTACCATGTGGATTCATGGATTTTTTTTTCACATTCTGTCTCTCACAGTTGAAGTGTACCTCTGGTGCAAATTACTGACCTCTGTCATCATTTTAAGTGGGGGAACTTGCACAATCGGTGGCTGACTAAATACTTTTTTGCCCCACTGTATATATATATATTTTTTTTTTTTTCCATATGGGTCATTAACTGATACAAACTATAGTTATGAAAAACGTATCGTGTAAACTGAGGTATTGTAAACTGGAGGCTCCAATTTTGCTCAGGTTCAGCTCACGAGTTAGCAGTGTATTAAAAGGGTTGACCAGGAACTTCACATTAGACTACCTGGTTTACCACAAACATTTTTGGCCATCACAGATAATTCTTGCATTAATAAGAACACATTGACTGACAGTATAGACCATAAAGGGCCACTGAACCAAAACAATGCTTCATCAAGATGTGTTTCATAAGCCACTGCAACACGTAAACTTGGTTTCATATGTACTTTTGGAAATGAGCGTGTAGTGAAAAGTAAAAACTTAGCTAGTCAACCAAAAACAATAAACAATCATGTTATTATAAATGTCAGCTGTAGTACATAAGTTGGTGGTAACACATGGGGTGGACTGAGACCCAACAGGAAATCCACACCTAAAAGTTTGCAGTAACAGCTGGGTCAGGACATGCTCAGCTGTGGAGAACGTGTGCACGACTAAATAAAGTTTAGAATGTAAGCGATCACGTATTAAGAGGCCGGATTAGCCTTTTTCAAATCTGCAGCGCATCGAAACCCTAAATCACAACATTGATAAATACACCAGACTAACCATCTCCTGTGTGTTTTCTCAGATTTAATGGTAAATGGCTGATTCTCATATAGGGCTTTCTACTCAAGCATTCTGGCCTTATACAACATGTCTCATTCACACAATAACTTCTCTCTATGTGTGAATGTGCAGCATCTAAGTGCTGCACATTCACACTCTGATACATGCATTAAGAATAACTCTGGGTTCAGTATCGTTCCCAAAGACACTCTGCCACGCAGACTGGAGCAAAAAAGATCAAACCACCGACCTTCCAGTTAGTAGATGACCTGCTCTACCTGCTGTGATACCAAAACTTCCCAAGGGCAAATTAATGAAAAACAACAAAAACATTAAATCCTGTGGCTTTTATTCATTAATTCTTTTTAAACATCCAGTAATTTCATATAATGACAGTAAAAGTACATGATGTGTATTTTCCAGTCATGTGCAACCCTATATATTTAAAGTATGAGTTGAGAAATATCTATACTATATTAGTATAATATATATACTAAATATCTAGTTAATTTTTCATTAACAGTCTGGATAATTACCAAAGCTACACACACTCACATGTAGCATGCAGTGGGAGATAATCACGTGTTCTCAGTCCGGGAAATATTCCACTTGTTTTAGCTGTGGGCGCTTGCAAGGCGGACCATTCAGCAGGCAGAATACATGAAGCTGAATGGCTCACCGTGAATTTAAAGGATAATTGCCTGCATTGCTCTTCATGCAAACACATTTGGATATTATAGACTTTGAAATAGAAAGCTGGGAAGGTAAATAGTGTTTCTCCAAACAAATCTAGTATTTACAAAGTCATTAAATAGTACTTGCAAATTTAATTCAAAGAACATGCATGAAAATCAGCTATGCTTGATCTTAATGCTGCACTAATCTAAACCAGTAACACTTGTCTCGTTTTAGTCCTAATTAGTCACTGATGTATCTTCACTGTTAATAGGCATGTAAGGTATGTGAGGCATGTTTGCCAGATCCATTATCACTATGACAAAGGTTTACTGGGCCTTTTCACAAAGGGAATCAATTATTTTATGCTATGTGTGTAAAACTAATCTGTGGGGTCATCTACTGCTCTTCTTGACACATCTTCAGTGAAGTTTCTGGAATCACTGGATGTTTTATGGCTTCAAGTATCACACAACAACATCCAGGTGACCCAAGTGAACCTGCTCAGAAACCAGCTTGTGTGCAGATATGCTGACATTAGAGAAGCAGGGTAGCATGCATAAACTCGGCTCCAATATAACCAACACCAGATAGATGTTTCCATTATACAATTCTGACATTTCTACCACTAGAGTATTGTGAAAACATGTAATTTTTCCATGCAGAGTTTTCATAACGTTCCATCCAGTCAAATGCCTGAGCAGCACTTTATTAACCTTAAGGTCACTGGTTTAACCATCAGCAATCGTCACGTCATACTATGGTAAATGAGGATGTGACAGCTTTCCAAGTACAACGTGTTATGCCTTTTCTAGAAACCCAGTGTTGGGAGACCTCATTGATCAATGTAAACATATACCAGTCTGCAGCACGTGACTCTACAGTCCGACGCCTTTAGCTTAAATCCCAGTTTTCAGCCTCTGAGCATCAACAATATAGGGTAATGTCTGGTTAAAAATCCAAGCCCAAGAAGTTATTTAGCATTAACATTTTATTCAGAAGAAGGAATGAGGAAGAAAGGCGAACATAATAATATGCTACACTGAACAACGATGACAGGAATTTAACCCCAAAGAAGACGCCGAGCGTTTATCCTCATACCATAAGAAAAGACAAAAAAGGTTTGACCAAAAGAAGCTTTAAATCATAACAAGGCCAATGCGGTTTGACACACCATTCGGTAGGGATTTAGTAAACGAAAGCTCAAATAACGTTAGATAAAAGCCCGATTACACAGCGCATGAATCAAAAATCAATAGTTAAGCCATGGTATGTGGTGTGCTGGCGGCTAGCAACCAACACATCAGCAGCTAAACACAGCAAACAGCTGGCCTGCATACGTAACCACTGTGAGGCGAGTCATTTTCCTCTAGCCAGCTAACGTTACTCCCGTTAGCTCTTCGAGCTACCATTAGCCTAGCTAGCGTCGCCGGGGCGCCGGAGAACCGTCTGTCAGCGGAAAAACAACTATAACTCGATTACTTACCCATGTTAAGAGGCTTTCACACACTTCCATACGATCCAAAGACTCTGATGTACTCATCGTGATCTAATGTAGACCGACTTTACGTGGCGAAGAGAGCCTGAACTTGATAGTCAGCTTCATACACTCCCGAGATCTCTGGCTCTCTGGGTGTCTCACAATCCGTCCGCCAATGGTCGGGTTCGCTGGTTCGCTAGTCCGGCGTCTACCAGAGGCGGGCTGTGTGGGCGGAGTCTATAGTTCGTTTTAAAGGGCAGTTCTCACTTTGAATGTACTGTCAGGTATTAATTACATGAAAAGCTAGTCCACAACCAATTATTATTTCAAAAGAATCTGAAAACTAGCACAAAACAAGCACCAAATGAAACATTCATTTATTTATGGTTCTAAAATATGTAGACACAATCACAGGCAAAAAAACAAAACAATCCAAGGAAATTACTTTTTTTTCTGGCAAGCAAAACGGAAGCAGCGCATAAGCTTGGGAAGACATACAGCTGACTCAGTGCTGCGTAAAAGCATAAGTCTAAATGCTTATAGAGAGCACCAGAGGGTACTTCTCACAGTGAGACACCCAGTGGGGTTTAAAAGAAAACTAAGCCAAAATACAGAAAGTTTGTTAATAACTAAGTCCAACATATGATTCAATAACTTGTTCAACTGATGATATTGGTAAATGGTAAAATGGTAAATGGCCTGTATTTATATAGCGCTTTTATTGTTGTTGAGCTGTAGCTCTTAAGGTTTGTTGTAATTTCTTTGAGCATTGCATAGTCTGACCTAGGGGTGGATTTTTGGGGACATCCACTCCTGCGAAAATTGGCAACTGTCTTGAATATTTTTTCACATGTGGATCATTTTTCTTGCTTTCAAATTATCCACACAGAATCAGTCCACACAAAAATGTTGTTGTACATGCACAAAGACAATAAAGGGCTATTCTGTTCTATTGTAAAAAAAAAAGTTGGAGCAGGTCTAACCACACACAAAAAATTCCCATCAAAAGCAACTAATGATTTATAAAAGAAAACCACTTGATTTCTTCATGCAATTGCCACAATTCCATTTAATTTAGATGGAATCCCACTAACCCTGAGAAAATGAGTGCACGTGATATCTTTGAAATTATGTTAATAGATTGTATGAGAGAAGCAGCATTTTTACACATTTCTGACATGCATTTTGGCATGTACACGAAGTCTGTGCACAAAGTGCCCCTTGCATGATGCTTCCAAAATAAAGATTACATCAGGGTGGGACTTCCAAAAAACCTCTCAAATGTAGTTCACCTGGAGCATTACAACATATGCTGCTGTCTCTGGCTTTAGTTTAAACTGAAAGGGACACTAGTGGAGCAGTACTCAAGTATGACACATACTGGTATGTGGGCACACCCTAAAACAAGACATTCCATGAGGTAGCTGCTGGTCTCCTTTTTTGGTAATCTAAATCTCTGAAATACAGTGAAATTTACAGTTAACCTCCTCCTTTTACTTTGCCTACCATGACAAGCTTATCAAACATTGGCTTGAATCCCCAGAAACCAAATAGCCTGGACTCATTGCTCAAAAAGTAACCATGGTTACACAGTAACTTTGAGGGAAAAGGGCAGATAATGAAGTCTCCCTCTCTGGCTCCACTAGACAACACTACCTATTTAAGTAATCACAACTAAAAAAAAATAAAAATAATAAAAGAAGTTGAGGTGGAGATATTTACTGTGCACCAGTCAGAAGTTCAAGCTGGATTTACACTTGAACAGTTTGGTAATCCCCCATTTATTTATATCCTCAGTAAAACACATTTTGTATAGAACATTAATTTAATTTGAACATAAATAAGACTTTAATACATTTCAAAATCTGACAGATTGAGAGACTCTGACGTTCTGAAAAGCTCTGTAGTGCGTGAAGCTGAACTGACACTGACAAACTGATTAAGATCCTGAAATGTGAAGAAGAAAAAAAAAAAAAAAAAAAGAGAATCCTTAAAATAATCTTTGAACATTGAAACACGACATTAACATTCATTACTTGAGTGAGCTGATGATTAAAAATGAACTTTAATCAGTTCTTTCTTTTCTTGAAAAACAAAGTCATCTCTAACTGAGAAATCATCATCAGACTGGTTGGTGTTGTTCACTATATTTTCACGTGGGTAAGCCCAGGAAAGTTCGAAGCATGTTAGAATGGATGAATAAATCTAGACGTTTCCAGGTGAAAAACTTTAGTGATTTTGACACAAACATTGGTTTCAAGTCATGGTTATGCAGGTTACAGATCACTGAAATATGGGCGTAACTATAAATGAATAAAGCAGGTTCTAATAACCCCATTAACAGGGTTCTTGTAACACACCTTTGCTTGTCAACTGACAACCCAAATGTAGACTGTTGACTTTAAATCCATTTAATAAAGACATTACAGTTTTACACGATTGTCTCCATAATGATGACATACACATTAACCAAATGCCCGTTCATGGCACTGTTGACTATTTAGTTAAGGTTGGAAACTGACAGGCAAGAAAGACTTTCCTGACTGACCTCAGTGCCTGACTCAAAGTAGATTTTTACATTGCATCCTTATATTCTGCTTCTGTTGGTACTGACTCATATGACCTTAGAATCTTGAATGGTAAATTCTATATACAGAGTCAATATTGAGAGTACTTTTTTTTGCTAACCCATCTCCTGTGATAAAATAACATCCAAGGCTTCAGAGAGAGAGAGAGAGAGAGAGAGAGAGCGAGAGCAAAATCTGTATTATCGACTAACTGCTCTTTGAACATTTATTCCGTTTTTTTGCACGTCCTCAGATGTTGACTTCACTCTTCCCGAGGCTTTTGAGAAGGCCTAGCCGTTCAGTCTCTGAGTAACCACCTCTCTGTACATGATAGAGATGTACACAAAGAGAAGTAGGATTACAAAGAAATCGTCCATGAATCCCAGAAGACCAAAGAGCGCTTCGGGAAGGATGTCGAGCGGAGAGGCCAGGTAGGTGATTGCCCCAATGAGGCAGAGAAGAATTCGAATCCTGAACATCCAGAAGAGGCCACCCACAGTAAACATCTCTCTAAAGGCGTGACGAAGCAGAGTGGGCACATCCCGCAGCCTGTCCATAAACTGAGGTAAACCACAGAAACAAAGTTGTCAATAATAACTCACGTTTATCTCATTTAAGGTAGTATCATATCGGCCATTTCATGGATGGCTGCAAATTTTAAACCCCTCTCTTTCGCATGTCTCCCATGATAGACTTGCAGAGAGAGCAAACATCCACTTCTTTAACAACTTCCCTAACTTTTGTATCAAGAATATAACTGTTGTTGGGTTTCAGACTATGACTCACAGAGACAAAGAAGGAGTTATACAATGGAGAAGTCCGCAGCTCCCAAGACCAAAGGAGACAGATCAGGTCATAATCAGATGAGCACCCCCCCTTAAAATATAACCATATTCTGGGTTGTACAGAATGAATATTCGAACTTAAAGCCCCAATCTAAATAAATATCACTGAAATACTCACAGATCTCGGCTGGCCGGAAAACCTGCGGTTGTAATCATTGATATCTCTTAATATTAGCTGAGGTTCAGCTTCCCCATCCTGTACCCTCTGAGGACCAGCGTGCTCATGAAATAGTGGAAAGAGCAATGTTACCTGGAATTAAAAGAAAAAAAAAATTAAAGATATTTTTAAGAAGGATACCAATACTGATATTGATGATAATCACATACATCGGTTGACATATATACACTTTTTTTTGGGGGGGGGGGGGGGGGGCTTTGTTGCCAGTACAACAGCAAAACTGCTGAGAGAGATTGGGATCAGAGGACAGGCACAACGGCAGGCTATAAGAGAATTAGCTAACACTGCTGAGAGGACCAGTCACAGGCTATGACTACAAAGGGCTGACATCACTTGGGCAGCTAAGGCAGTCAGCTAACTGCGATACACATGCCAAGGATTGATCACCACGACCAATCCTTGGCATGAACAGGGGCCTCAACAGGGGGCGTCGAAAGAGTAAAACATAACATTAAAAGTTTTGCTGGTTGACTGCTACAGCTGTCTCAGGGCCTCCTGGGGACTGTGCAGTTAACTTCATGGTAGTACTAACTAAAAAGAAGAATGAAAAACGTTCCACTCTTCTCCCCTCTGCTCTTCTTCCCTTTTCTGGTAGGCAGTGGGGAGGTAGAGCGCACAGCCAGATCCGGCGGGGAGGTGTGGGAAGCCAGATCGGGCGCCTCCTTCCAGCTCTCCTCTCTGCTCTCTCCTATCTTATCTCATCTTACTTGTCTTACTCCTCTCTGTCACCTTTTCTGTCCCTTTGAAGAAATGAGGCTCCATAAATGCTAAAGAGGTAAGTATTTCTCAGTTGTAGTGAATAGATAGAAAATAAACTGTAGAAAATTAAACAGGAGAAAGAAGGAGAGAAAAACAATTTTAACATAAATCATTGACACACTCCAGGGCCTGATCAACCCTGGCAGGGCCTCCTTGGATGAGGAGTCTAGTGATAATGGCCGAAACACCCGATGAATCCAAGGTCCACTACGGACGATGTGTTGCAAATTTAACAATTTAGATCAGATCTCTAATCCCTAAACCTAAGCAGGGGAAATGGCAGGCTAGCTTGGGTAAAAGAAGGCACACGACGATGTGTGCTGCTGGTAATGTTTCTGCGCTGCTTTCTTCATAACAGCCATCCTTCAAGATTTTCTCCATTAAAAGCAATGCATTGTCTGGGATTGTAACATCTAGTCCTTTACTGAAACATTAGAGGCATAGATAACAGTTTTCCCCAAAATTTGCCATGTGTTTTTCTTTTTTCTTTTTATGTACTCATTTATAGTTATATCGGCCAGTTGATATTATAAATCAACTGGGTGGTAATATATATATATATGTAGAGCAGTGACAGGTCACACAGCACCGCTCTGACTGACACATCACTTATTCCATTTAACACTCATTTCCAACAACTGTGGCAGTAGCTAAACGCCTAAAAAGAATTAAGGTATTTTTGTGCATTCAAAGATATGAATACAGAACAGCTGGCAACTTATGAATATCCCTAGTGTGCATTTTAACAAGTACTGAAAGACTCACCATTTGTCTGCAGATGGGGCAGTTAATAGCTCCCAGCCAGGTGCCGTACCTCCAGTAGGCTATGATGCAGGAGCCTGTGTAAGAATACAGGATATGGCACATGAGTAAAACTAAAGCACAAAAAAAAAAAAGAAAAAAGAAAAAATTTTTTTTACTTCAAATGATGTTTTCCTTGATGTGCATATTTTCAAATAATGTCAACATTTGTAGAAATTTTGTACTTTTTGTACTACTTTTTTAGTAATGAAATAAGCGATTAAAAGAATGAAATCATATTGTTTTGTTTAGTGCACATTACTGAAATCTGTACAATAATCTCACCACAGAAAAGGTGTCCACAATTGGTTTCCACAGGCAGAACAGCCTGCTGTAAACATACAGGACACGACATGTCTGTGTAATACTGCTGCCTGGCTTCAGCCTGGGGATTTTCATCCTGCAAAATGAAATCAAAAGCATACAAATTAAAACGTTTAGCACATTTGTTATAACAGAGCGCACAATTTTGAGAGTCATTCCCTCCAAATGAACAATAAAAATTATAAACCATTTACTAGCTGTAAAAGAATATTAATATTTATCTATAATCAGCCCTTTTGCAACTTCCTGTTGTGACTTGACAATTTAAACCTTTTCAGTTCCTTCTTCTGGACTTTTGCCAGTTCTAGAGCCAAAACTAATTGCTTCTTTTAAATTTCAGAGATATAAATATAAATTTTAGAGGTTGCCTTCTTAAGATAACATAGAAATTAAACACCAACAAAATAATAGTTTTAGTAAAGGATGACATCCTCCAAATTAAAATATAATCCTCAAAACTCTGCTTTTCTGAGTTTGAAATGTTCAGGCGATGTTTCAAACCACTCAAAGGATTCCAAGTAATACGTAGGGCTAAAAAGGCTAGAGCTGCGCTTGCGTCTTTACCTGCTCGGTCTGGAGCTGTTGTCGGACGGCTCTAACATGCTCCTGATTCTCAGGATGAATATTTTGCTGCTCTTGTCTGCAAATGTCAAAGGATGATTTGGCAATCAGATGTTTGTCAGCGTAAACTATGAAACAGAGCATGACAATGCAAATCCAAGACAGTGAGCTAAGTTTTAATACACTAACTGCCTGTGAACACAGTAATGAAACGGTAACACTGATGAACTTCATCATCAGTGTTACGAGTAGCCCTAAAGTGCAATATTCTACATGATTACAACCCTCAGATATATGCATATATTATCGGTCCTGAACACCTGTCATCCAAAGAAAAAGAAAACGGCACTTTCCTTTTATTAAACAACAATTGCTTACCTGCAGAGGAGAGTGAGGAGGCCTGCAAGGAAGGCGACACTGAGCACCACCACAAATAAGACCTGGTTGCTGACACCTTCAATGAGAGTGTCCTCATCTTGGATCAAGTAGTCCAAGTCCCCATGCTGACCGTCCTCCATCACCCACACTCATAGCCTACAACTCTGGAAAACAGAGGGGGAGAAGAAAAAAAAGATCACTAATTACAATTTTAAATGTTAGTAAAAGCTATATAATTTAACGGACTATGAGGTTCCACTAATGTATTCCCAAGTCTGTGAATGCCACAAATCTGTGGGTTTACGGAATTAAGCTGCGAACTTAAAGGCTTGTTTTTAAGTGACCTGTTAGCAATAGCAGCGATCAGTCCATTCTTACCAAAACGTTACAAAAATAGGGTAGCGACACTTTATGTCTAGTCTACTAGCCTACTTGTCCCTGCATGTAGCATTCTTCCGTTCACTGTGTTGCTATTATCAGCTAGCAACGCCCGCTTGCCAAGTTTAGCGCTGGCGTAGATTAGCTTTTAACACATTAATGAGCACCGCTACTGTTGGTAATGACAGTGCGTGGCTTTTGGAAGTTCCTCCACCATAGACAATATTGAGCCCTGTAGTTATTTATGTACCAGTGAAAGAAGGACAGCTTCTCTCTTTAAGTCTGAGCTCTTACGGGACATTTAACGACTCTTTGACGACAGGCTTAGCAGGGCCGCCTTAAGTTATAGCAAAAGAGTGTGGCACAGAGCATAATGAAGCTAATACTGTTTACGTAACGTGCAAAGTAATTTGAAACGTTTTGCAAGACGGACTATGATGAAAGAGCTCACCTGATAATAAGAAGTCCACCTCCAGTCGGTAAGCTCTTTCCAAAAGCTTCACCTATCCGCTCCATCCACTCTATCGAGACATTTCCCTCCCCAATTATGACAGCTTTTAGAGGCTCAGTCAAATTAGGAGACCAGGAGCAATCGCTTGCGTGTTGTTGCTCTTGCTTGGCATGCCGATGGTAATGTTTCGGTTTGCAACGACTTCCTTTCCTTCTTATTCTCTTAGAGGTATGCAGGTTAGAAGCTACGACGACAGAATGCTGCCCCCTAGTGTTTAGTAATGACGTTATCTTTGTACTTTATCCTTTATCCCATTATTTTTTTTGTTTTATTTTACATAAATTAAACATATTATACAAAGAGAGAGTAATTTCTGAAATTATTTAACTGCTCAGAAAAATAGTTTTAGCTTTTTAATGTATGTATTCTCCTACGTTTATTTAACTTCATTATTTATGAGAGACTTGTATTCTGTCTCTACTGACGGAAATGTCTTACCTTAAATAGAAAGACGTCTTCATATAGTGTATAACTTAACAATTAAATTTCTTAGTAATGATCCAAGCTTGTTAACCACGCTTTGACCAATAGGTGGCAGAAGTGCTAATACAATGTAGATGTTTCTTACAAGAAGACGAAGAAGAAAAAGAAGGAGAAGAAGAAGCACAAGCACCACCACCGCTAGTGCATCAATATTACGAACAGTTCTACGAAGCTACTTTTGGCGACAAAAAGGACCCAGTTTTACACAGCTCTCTTTAACTGAGGCGCAATGCCTCGTTATGCACAGCTAGTGATGGGTCCCGCGGGTAGCGGTAAGGTAAGTTATCACTCATTCAGTTAAACTTGTTGAAATACCTTGTTGTGCTATTCGGCTAATGCTAAGGCATGAGGTTGTCTTGTGTTCAACACAGACTGCATCTGCTTTTTGTTTACTGGAGTTCATTTTCATTTCAGAGTACCTACTGCTCCACCATGGTCCAGCATTCAGAGACCTTAAACCGTTCGGTTCAGGTGGTCAATTTGGACCCAGCAGCTGAGCACTTTGAGTACCCTGTCATGGCAGGTAAATGCAGCATAGTTTTAGTTTATATGACATAGTAGTGTCCATAGAAGAGAGGAAGATACGATTAACCCTGATAAATGGCTTTTAATTAGGCTCTAACATTAATTCTTGCTTTAGCATTTAGCATATAGGAGTTATTTTACACAACCCACATGGTAACTTTATTATGTTTGCTCTCAGACATTCGTGAGCTTATTCAGGTGGATGACGTGATGGAGGACGAGTCTTTAAGATTTGGCCCAAACGGAGGTCTGGTTTTCTGCATGGAGTACTTCGCAAACAACTTTGATTGGCTGGAGGAAAGCCTGGGCCACGTGGAAGATGACTACATATTGTTTGACTGTCCAGGTAAATGTTTCAAAGAGGGTATGTTGAAGCCAGACTTCCGTTAGCTTCAGCACAGTGCAGTTGTTTGTGCTGGAGTGTGGATGGGATTCAACATATCCTGGGCACTGTTATTTGTTAATTTTGTTAAAATCACCAAAATAGATTTACACTCATGACCACTTACCCTCAAAATTACCTTAATTCCTTATGGCATACATTCAACACGGTGAATTCCTTATAGACTTTGGACCATACTGACACGATAGCATCACAAAATTGCTGCAGATTTGTCAGTTTGTTTGAGATGCCAAAACGTTGATTTTGGCCATCTGAGACTGAAGAAGGCACTTGGATGAGTGATATAATGCTTCTCCCACTGAAAGTGCTATGGTTTTGATGGACAGGATCAATGTTTTGGGATTTCATTACCAGGGGCCCGTTCTTCGTACCTCGCTAAGTAGGTTAGCTGGATTTGATTGTTGACGATTTCGCGTGATCTTGGATCGTTCGGTTCCCCGAAGCTCATCCGGGACTTGCTGTCATAGCAACAGAGCCGTAAGCGTAAACCTGCTCGGGAGCAGGTTTACTTTATGTAAACAGGATTAGATCGCGGCCACGCAGGTATGTCCGCTTCATTTATACGAAAGCAACAGCGATATTCCACCACTGTTTCACCATAAATAAATAACATCAATGTAACTAAAGATAATGCAGCACCTGATCCTTTTATTGATTTCACACAGATACATACAGGTCATTTCCTAAAAAAGGGAAATCTACTATTAACATTCTATTACATGTATGTGATTATTACAGATTTAATTCATATTTCAGAGTAGCAATTGCAAATTACTTTGTGTAATCAAGATGAGAGACCACGGCTATAAAAACGAAGGTGGATTTGGGAAGCCTGTCGCAGCCATGTCCTGTCCGTATACGCGAGCCACCCATTGCGGAAGGTGCAAGATTGATAAGGAGAGTCCTCAGAATTCAGCGTATATTGCGGGACAGACAGGATCCTTTAGCTCAGCGCGACAGTGTGCTCATAGAGAGATATCGATTTTCCCATGAGGATATTATTTACTTAACCAACTTGTTGACGAGGGGGTGCAGGACCACCACCTGTCTTTTTTTTTTGCTCTGCCCTTTTCTTGGTTGCTGTTATAAACAGAGTATTCCAGGGTCTCTTTCCAAGAGACGAAAAGCAATATAAGTGATAAATATTACCATTCTGTAGAATATTCTTATATGTCACTTTTACCTGTTCCCATGTTCTAGTGGGTCCTGTTGTGGCTCTAATGTGAAAGGGGATATAATATAACATATTATAATATAATGTAATATAATATTGGATAATATAGTGTAATATAATAAATCTACCCTACCGCCTACTGGTGTTGGCCAGAGGGGCCGATGGCGCGATATGGCAGCCTGGCTTCTGTCAGTCTGCCCCAGGCAGCTGTGGCTACAACCGTAGCTGCCTCCACCAGTGTGTGAATGTGAGAGTGACTGAATAGTGGCATTGTAAAGCGCTTTGGGTGCCTTGAAAAGCGCTATATCAATCCACTCCATTATTATTGTTATTATTAAATTACTTACGAGTTTAATTTGTCAGCAACTTCCTGCCAGCCCTCGCTCCTTGCTTTTGCAGCCTTTGCAGTGTTCCCTTGCGTTCTGATTAAACTCTGAAACTCCTGAAATCCCTCACTCAAGAGTTCTTGCTCTGCTGCCGAAAAATACCGAGCGCGCTCCGTCGACATTTTCGCCGACCAATCAGAGGGTTGCCGATCAATGTTTCCACTATCGATGCGTAGCCCCTTTTACGACACCCAGTGATGTCACATTACTGCGTCCAGCTGTACTAATCGTCAACAGCAGGCGTGTTCGGGGAACCGGATTAGCGAGCTCACGGTTAGCGCGATGGTTTGGTCTTGGATGTGTCATTTGATCTTGGATGTAGTGAGCGACGTACGAAGAACGGGCCCCTGGATGATTGAGCATGCAGCGAGACATAGTTTGAGATGATTTTGAGCTTTGTAGTATGACAAATTATCCTACTAGAAGCAACAGTCAGAAGATGGGTTTACTGTGATCATAAGGTAGTCAGCAGCAATACTCAGGTAGGCTGTGGGGTTTAAATTATGTTTTCTTGAACCTTTGCAAATTATAGCCTCAGTTTCCTGGTCATAGTTGACAGTAGTGGCACCTGGTGTGGTGTTCTGCTGCTGTAGCCTATCCGATTCAAGGTTCAACATGTTGTGCATTCAGAGATGTTCTTCTGTAAACCTAGGTTGTAATGAATATGAGTTTACTCTTGCCTTCATATTAGCTTTAAACAGTCTGGTCTTTCTCCTCATACATGAACAAGAATTCTCACCCAGAGAAGTGGCGCTCTTTTTTTTTTTTTCTGGACTGTTGTCTGTAAACCCTACGGATGGTTGTTGATGGCTGTTTGGGGAAAATCCCAGCAGATCAGTTTCAGAAATACTCAGACCAGCCCGTCTGGCATCAATAACCATACCATATTTCCCTTTTCTGATGCTTGCTTTAAACTTCAGCATATTGAACGTGTCTGTATGCTTAAATGTAGTTGAGCTGCTGCCATTAGAGAGTAACAAACCTATTGAATTGGCAGATGAGTGTATATATCATTATTTCAGTCTTGGAACAAGGTATGTTATCGTTGGAAAAGTGGTTGTCCGTGTGTGCCTCATAGAACTGGTGTGAAGCGTGGCTTCTCTTTACAGGGCAGATTGAGCTGTACACACACCTTCCTGTAATGAAGCAGCTGGTGGAGCAGCTCCAGCAGTGGGAGTTTCGGGTTTGTGGAGTTTTCCTTGTTGACTCGCAGTTCATGGTGGAGTCTTTTAAGGTAACAGTCTCACAGTGTCTTCCTCTGATTTATTTGATTTTCCTTTTTTAACTTCATTTCTGTACAAACACAAACATAATGTAATAGTGAGAGCACACCTTTTACTTGTCTCCTACTGTAGTTTATCTCTGGAGTCATGGCTGCCCTCAGTGCTATGGTGTCATTAGAGATTCCTCAGGTAAACATCATGACCAAAATGGATCTGCTTAGCCCCAAAGCAAAGAAGGAGATTGAAAAGTAAGTTTCATATGAATTGACAATGTTAAGTGCACACAAAATCTACAAAAGTAATTCCCTTTGTCGTCTGTACTAGGACTAGATTAATGTTTTCTTTTCATGTTATTCAAAACCTGAACATGTTTGAAGACACAATTCTTAGTTTTAATTTGCTTACATTTTTATGCATTGCATTTTTTTTTTTTTTATTATAAAGATACCTGGACCCGGACATGTACTCGATGATGGAAGACGGCTCCAACACAATCAGAAGCAAAAAGTTCAAGAAGCTAACCAAAGCTATTTGTGGTCTCGTAAGTAAAGGCCTTGATTTGGTACTGCATCATGTTTATGACCAGATTGATATTTTTATTAATATATTTGTCTGTTTTTAGTGAGACAGTATCTGTTTGTGTATCTAGATTGATGACTACAGTATAGTAAGATTCCTCCCTTTTGACCGCACTGATGAAGAAGGTATTAACATAGTACTGCAACACATTGACTTCTCAATACAGTACGGAGAGGACCTGGAGTTTAAGGAGCCAAAGGTGAAGAAACAGCACAACCCACCCACCCCAATTAAACACAACTGGAAAAAAATAAATATATATATATATAATAAATATATATTTATATAATAAATATACTGTGTGTGTGAGAGATGCATTATATAGCTTTTCATGATCAACCAGTTTTTTTTTTTTGTTCTGTACCTTGTTTTCCTACAGGAGGTTGAGGAACAGCCTGCTAACCTAAATTATGACGACATTTTTCAAGACAAAGCGAACAGCTGAGGCGGAGTACGGCCAATCCTGCAAATACAGACTTTGTGTAGCAAGACTGGCAAAGGAGTTCCAATCGGACTGTTTGTTGTAACTGGATGGATACCGAGAAATGGACACGTGAAGAAGATTGTGGATATCATAAATAATGTTTCATGTTTTTGTTTTTTTTTTTTTTTTTTTGATGAAAATGAAGCTATTCATTTAAAAGTATATTTTAAAACAGTGGTTTGATGCATTTAAATGCTTAGCAGTTATTAAAAAATATTGCTATTATATTTTTTTGAATAAAATGCAACGCAAAATACACGTTTTGCCGCCCGTGTGATGTAAAGTGTTTATTTAGCGCCCCCGGCTGGTTGATACGCCACATGACACGTGGCCACTTCCTGTAAAGCCGAAGGGTGGGACAGCACGGAAGCAGCATCTTGCAAGTGTTGGAATATTTCTGTCGCTGAGCAGTTGGACTGATATTTATCATTCAACATGCCGGTGAGTAAAAATAAGAAGGAACACACTATTATTGACGAGCAGAGAACTTTACTGCTAGGATTAGAGCAGAAATATTGCGCTGAAATCCCACTGAGTAGGAAAAGAGGGGCCTCCGAGTTAACGTTAGCATAGTTCGCTAATTACCTAACCATTTGGGTCGCAATTTAACGATGTTTGACATGTCAGAAAGCGCAAATTCGCGTTTGATGCTTTGTTGCAAATAGGTTTTAGCACGCTGCCTATACTACTTCTTATTATTTGGTTCTACGGTAACATAACTATTAAACCAGGCTAGCATAGTAGCAATGATGCTATCTGGCAGAAATGTTCCCAAAGATATCAGGTGACAGCAACTTTTTCTTTTAATATTTTTCAGGCGTATCACTCAAACCTGATGGCCACCGAAACGAGGCTGGTGGGGAACATGGCTTTGCTCCCCGTCAAAACTCAGTTTAAAGGACCAGCCAGAGGAGACGGTAAGGCTATGCGATATATTTTACTTGTGTAATATTTATCGAGTATATTTTACTCGATAATGTCCTTCACATAACGCATATCAATTGTAGTGAAGTCTATAGTAGTGTTTTTTGATTTGGTTAAGTCATTTTTAGGCAATGGGTTGTATCTTGTTATGACCCCTACTGTATTTCCTGATACATGCATCAGATACACTTCCTTATATGGTGTAAAAAGCTCATCCTCAACTTCTAACTTCTTCATTAGAGTCTATGAGCACTTCTGTAATAAAACGGTGCATTTTGTAGTGTCTACTCCACCTAAATGTTCATTTCAGTCTTCCATGGTGTTGTGGGTTTGACAGGTTCAGTGCTATTGAATAATAAAGTTATTATATTTTGTGATTGGGTGATTCTAGTTGCTTGTTAGCAGCTCATAAATCAAGAATGGAGCTCTGCTGGTAGCAAAAAGGCCTGCATGGCCAAAACGGGAAATGACATTTTAACAGTGACACATACATATGCACATGCACAAATACTGAATTTAGAGCCATAAATTTGTTGATTTCTTCTTTGCTTTTTTAAATTTTAGGCGTAGATTCTGATATTATTGACGAGGCTATCTACTACTTCAAGGCCAATGTTTTCTTCAAGAACTATGAAATCAAGGTAAGCAATTCATTGACATTTGCACTGTTTTGATTGCATGTGTTCCATGTTTAAGGAGACCAAAATAGTCATAAACCTTGGGGTGGTTTTGCTGTATTTGTGCCCCCACCATTGTATCAACATATAATTTTTTTTTTTTTAAAGTAGCTTAATAAGTTTTATTTGAATAAGGAGGCAGGTATGCACCTCACTGGTGCCCCTTTTCCTCTATGTTTTCTCTTACTCTCTGGAGCAGCTGAGCACTTGGTTTTTCCACATGCCCTGGCTTGCCTCTTCCTGTGATTGCAAACAGTGCAATCTTTTCATAGTTTGCATAGTTTAGGCTGTTCAATTCTGAGACCTAACTACTACAAATTACAGTAACCTCAATGCTTTATATAAATTTTTCAAAAATGTGTGTGTACATGTGTTTCTTTCAGAATGAGGCAGACAGGACACTGATCTATGTCACACTCTATATTTCTGAATGCCTAAAGAAACTACAGAAGGTAAATTGAAATCCCCACAAAGGGCTTAATGCAGTTTCATCACTTGTAGCAATGAGCTACTTAAATATATATATTCAAGTAGGTGACCAGAAAACATAATCAAACTATTTCCATTGGGATATGTGGCTCTACAGTGCAGCTCCAGGAGCCAGGGAGAAAAGGAGATGTACACTCTGGGCATCACAAACTTTCCCATTCCTGGAGAACCTGGCTTCCCCCTTAATGCTATGTATGTCAAACCTGCAAACAAGCAAGAGGAAGGTAAGAAGCCACAAGCTAGGATTAGTACATGTTTGTCTGCCTTAGGGTGTTTATCAGTAAATAAGTAAAAACAAACTTGACATTTCACCATATTTATACCAACTGGTTATGTTGTTTCAATTCCCTGACTCTGAATTAGACTGGTTCCTTTGTACACCTCTTATATTTCAAGGTAAAAATAGAAATGCTGACCTTTAAGCTTTAGGGGTCTGGGGCTGAAAATGTTGTTTTATACTTATGTGATTATCATTTATAAAGTACCAACTGTTACACATGAAACTAATGGAATTCCACCCTATTTAAAAACTCCTGAAAATATCGAGTTATTTTACTGAACTCCATATCCAAGTGAATCCTCAGATCTTTTACAGCAATCTTACTCCTAAATCTAAATGCCTGGATCTTTTTTTTTTTGTACAGTATATTATGTGGAAGGTCGACTACTAAAGCCATGCCTTCCTGCTGTTAAACAGTAGTTGTTGCTGTCTGTGACTGGACTGATAATATTTGCTCTTCATCCTTCTTTAGAGACTATGAGGGCCTACCTCCAGCAGCTCCGACAGGAGACTGGCTTGAGGCTATGCGATCGTGTGTTTGACCCCCAGACAGATAAACCCAGCAAGGTAAGTCTGGCATGTCCAAAGTGATTGGCTGTTGCGGTCTGTGAACATGACAAGGGAAATGTCTCAGGGCTAATGCACCCCTTGTTCCTTAATTACTGTGTCTGATGCATCCAGTAGGATTTAAGTTGCAATACAGAAAAGAACTTGCATAGCTCATATTTGGATCAGAGGCGAACGAAAATTAACTGTTGTTCCTGTCTTGATTTCCTGCCTCCTTTATCTGATTTATACAACTTAATATCAAATCTAGGTCACCACACAGCTAACCCAGGAGGGATACAGGCTCAAATGCTAGATTTAAGCTGCTTTCTACAATCTAAATATGTGCAGGTTTCAGCAGTTAACACTGAAACGTGTCCTTTTGACTGAAAAGTTTACCAACTTTTTCTTCTTTCAGTGGTGGGTTTGCTTCGTCAAGAAGCAGTTCATGAACAAAAGCCTGTCAGCCCCTGGACAGTGAGCAACTAGGACTGCAGTTTTCTACACTTGCAAGATGGATTTTTGGGTGGGGTGGTAAAGGAGGGTCTGCTTTTGTGTTAAGATTTTATACAGTTTATGTTCAAGCATGTCTTCACTTGTTGATTATATTGAGCTGGTGCTTAATTCAATAAAGCAATTATGGAGACGCGAAACTAGTGCAGTTATTGCCGTTTAGTTTTTAACCAAATGTGCCACTAGGTGTGAAGGAAAACTTCAGTGACTTGAGGTCTGTTTAAGGATGTGTTGGTGTACAGCGGAGGGAAGAAAAGGTTTCTACAGAAAGAACAGTATCTGCACGACTTTATTCACACTTATATCAATACAACTATATTTCATTTGACATATCCATGCTATTGTAACCATAAAAAAAAAAGCTGTTACATATAAACTTCTGTAAGAGGTATTAAAATAACTGCTGACCTGTGACCTCTTCCATAGGAATGAGAGAATACATTTACTCTACATATGCAATCACAAGGATAGGAAGAAAGTCTGTTAATTTAAAAAAATAATAATAATTAAAATCACGGTTTCTCTTTGGTTTGTATGAGACACCTTTTTTCCTTGAGTTAAAAAAAAAAAAGGCTCTTAAATGCAGTCCTTGCTGAAGTTAAGGCAGTGTTCAAGTTCACCAACAAAGGAAAGAAGAAGCACCTGAGAAAGAGGAAGATGTGTTTCTAGATTTCCATCTGATCAATGACTGCGATTAATGAAAAACTGCATATATAGTGAAATGAGTGGCTCAGTGTTGCAAATTGAAGGAAAAAAAAAAACTCGAGCAGTCGACACGCAACAGCTTCACTACAAATAAATAGATTAATATAAACAAGCTTTAGAGAAGGTGCATTTATCCTGGTGCCTTCTCCAAAATCTGATTTTTTTCCCCATACACAGAATTTAACATTACACTACTTAAATTATGGAAATCATCCTAAATATTATGTTAATACATTTACTTTGGGGGAAAAAAACAAAAAAACAAAATAGGAGCAGTGTACTGTCAAATTCCATAAGTATGCAAGCCACACAAAAAGGCTGCACATGTCCTGCTAGTGAAATGCTGATAAAGTGGTAATGATATAAAACTGCAGCATTGATGTTACTGCTGTTCAGCAATATTCATGAAGAAGTTTCTTCACTGGCAAAAAGTTGCAAAGATCTGCCAGCCATCTCCCTCAACGGGCAATCCACATCCAGCTCCTACCCAAGAAAAAAATAAACATTTCAGTTTCTGTTCTAGTTTCATAAGGAAGTAAATCACTATGGTAGAAGGCTATGAATTCAGAGGGCTCTAAAAATCAAACAAACTAACAAAAAAAATAAATAAATTTGTAATGCATGAACAATAAAGCTTCTTCTTGTCATTACTTAAAATGCAGCTAATGCCAAACTTGCTCAAAGGCAGCCTAGCAGATGTGAAGAGGTTAAATCTGGGTGATTGTACTTACAGAACTGATGATCAGACTGACGCCTTAGTCAAAAGCAGTGTCTTGGCTTTTCCGTACACAACGCGCCACCTTTTTCTTAAAAATTCCTGTAGGATCTTCTCTCCACTCTTTCTGCCGGATATAATAAACAGTGATTGTATACAGTGTCATTTACTCCCTCCATCACTTCTTGTTTCTACATCTTGGCCACACAAGCTGCACAAATCAGAGATGCCTGTAACACGTTTACTTCATTTCTCTTAGAGCTTACACGTTGTCTGAAGCTAGCGGAGAACATGAGCACTTACAGCTGCATCCACATTGGCAGGAGAATCTACATTGGGATCTGCCAGCATGGAGATGACACTGATCATGATGGTCTCCACTGTATGGATCGGTAGCCAGCGCTCCT